TGATTTATGACATGGGATCTGCGAATCGAAATTTCGACATTTCTTTCTGCCCCTGATATTCGAGTCTGAACTTACAGTGATTTGTTCTCTTCGTTGGTAAATTAATCTGCGACAAATATTCCTTTGCAATCCAAGAACACTCACAGGTCGTGCCCTCCCTTCTATAGGGTTGTGAGTCTTCGACACTATACCACGGACACATCAAGAAGCTGGAGAATCTCCACATGCAAGCTTGAGGCCCTGGATCATGCTCACTCCTCAAGCATTGAGTCCATGCTCATTAAGGCCCATTCCGATGGTTGGGGTATGTCATCCGCCCGGAGGAACACCGCTTGCCAAGACGTCTGCTGTACGGAGAGCTCCTGCACGGCAAGAGAAACTAAGTCCGTCCAAAAAGCGATACAAAGACACTGTGAAAGCAAATCTCCAGGGGAGCAAGCTCAACCCCAAAGAACTGGCGGAACGTGTCAGTGATTGACCACGTTAGCGAATCACAATCCATGATGCTGCTGTCACCTTCGAGGAAGCTCGACGCCGGAAGCTTACCGCTGCCAGAGATCAACAACACAGGACATCGTCAGCAGTGATTGCGACATCTGGGTTTCAGTGTCCCATCTGTTCCAGACACTGCTCCTCCAGCGTGGGGTTGCGGAGATGGAGAAACGATACGTCAACTTTGGATTCGAAAGAAAAGCGACATTCATTAGAAACAAAGAAATGAGTATTGAACTCTTACGTGAACTGTTCTCCTGAAGATGGAGAAGAAACAGAAACAGAAACAAAGAAACGAGAAATGGACTGTTACCTAATATCAGTCCTCTTACATGGCAGTTAATGCTGGACAGCCTCTTCTTAGATGAAGAAGAGACTTGAAGCAACGAAAATATTTCAGAACTCTTATGTAATATCAGTCCTTCTATATGGCCGTGAATGCTGGACAATCTCCACACAGATGAAGAAGAGACTTGAAGCAACTGAAACAAAGAAAAGAGAGCGGAATTGTTATGTAATATCAGTTCTCCTATATGACAGTGAATGCTGGACAATCTCCTCACAGATGAAGAAGAGACTTGAAGCAACAGAAAGAAAGAAAAGAGAGCTGAACTGTTATGTAATATCAGTCCTTCTATATGGCAGTGAATGCTGGACAATCTCCTCACAGATGAAGAAGAGACTTGAAGCAACTGAAACAAAGAAAAGAGAGCTAAACTGTTATGTAATATCAGTCCTTCTATATGGCAGTGAATGCTGGACAATCTCCTCACAGATGAAGAAGAGACTTGAAGCAACTGAAACAAAGAAAAGAGAGCTGAATTGTTATGTAATATCAGTTCTCCTATATGGAAGTGAATGCTGGACAATCTCCTCACAGATGAAGAAGAGACTTGAAGCAACAGAAACAAAGAAAAGAGAGCTGAACTGTTATGTAATATCAGTCCTCCTATATGTCAGTGAATGCTGAACAAACTCCTCACAGATGAAGAAGAGACTTGAAGCAACAGAAACAAAGAAAAGAGAGCTGAATAGTTATGTAATATCAGTTCTCCTATATGGCAGTGAATTCTGGGCAATCTCCTTACAGATGAAGAAGAGACTTGAAGCAAAAGAAACAAAGAAAAGAGATCTGAACTGTTATGCAATATCAGTCCTCCTATATGGCAGTGAATGCTGGACAGTCTTCTCAAAGATAAAGAAGAGTTTTGAAGCAAAAGAAATGTGATTCTACAGAAGGATGTTGAGGATACTCTGGACCAATGAACGACGAGGTTATAGAGCAAATGAATATATAACGAAGATTCATGGCTGGAAAACTTGTGCAGCAGGGGCGTGCCGTTAGACAAGATAGGCAGTGCCTACCCTGAATAAAATAGATCGGCAATAAAACGCAGATTGTTTGTGTGTGTGTGTGTGTGTTTCTGTAGGTTTATATATTAGATCAGATTTCCTACATTTTTCAGGCGACTTCAACAAAACTTCAGAGGACTACGTAAAATTACCTTGCGCTAGTTCTGACAGCGCCAAAAATTGGAAAAACACAATTTTGGGGGCATTTTTTTTGCATGAAATCATTTTGAAAACACAATAAAACACGATTCTGTCGCTAGAATGAAAAGGGGACAACTCATATCGAGTTGTACTTATTATAAAACCCAGGTTGTTTGTGTGTGTGTGTGTTCGTTTATATATGGGATCGGATTTCCTACATTTTTCAACTGATTTCAAGAAAACTTCACTTTTTTTGTCAGGTAGTGTTTCTTATTGTCTTGCACACTTTTTTCTTTATTTTTACATTCAGAATGCTTTAAAAATTCCATTTACAAGACAATTGTTTATAATAAAATTCTATTCAATTGGTAGACTCATAACGATTGAAAACAGTGTTTTTGTTTGAGTTTGGGTTTGACCAATTCGTAAAAAAAAAGAAAAAAAAAACTAATTAAGACATGCGTGTCCGTCAACCTTAAACAATAATCTTTGTCAATTTTATTTTTCAGTCTTTATGATGGTCGATACTTGATCTATCTCTTACTGCTACATCCCCGGGCAACGCCGGGCTCTACTGCTAGTCTGGAATAAAAACAAAAAGTTGACAAGTCAACTCATTAGATATATACTAATCTCAACACCAGGAAGAGGCAGTTGAAATTTCTGGGTCACGTAATGAGGAAGGAGTGCTTGGAAAACCTGACACTCACAGGACAAAAGGAGTGAAAGTGGGACAAAGGAAAGCATACGTATAACATACGTAATTGGATGAAAGCACTGTGAAACATACTTGAGAACTTTGACACTCTCTTAAAAGATGAAGAAGATACTTGAAGCAACCTAAATATGGTTCTACAGAAAGATGCTGAGGATATGATGGACCGGAAATGTGAGCAAAGACGAGGTTTTTATAGAAAATGAAAACAAAATGAAGACTTATATTGAGCATCAAAAAGAGACAGTTGAAAATTCATAATGAGGAAAGCGGGATTGAAGAATCTGATACGCACAGGAAAAAATTAATGGCAAGATAGACAGAGGAATCGATCGCAAACAATACTTAGTGGGCTTGAGTAAAGAATGGAAGAACAGATTTTGGGAGAAATAACAAAAAAGAAAAAAAAATTAAGAGCTACAAGGAACAGGGATATGTGGAGAGTCATGATTCCTACGCCCTGGAGGGACACAGCACATACTGCTATATTAAAATTACAATAATCTAGGACGGATATAATTGGCTCTCATAAAAATCTCTCAAAACATTTGAAGTGTCCTTCATATATTTTTATGTCTTGGCAAACAGATTGTTTTAGTTACTTGTTGAAATATTTACAAATCCAAAACATTAACCTGAAAAATCGAGTCATGTTATAAATAAATAAACTCATCAGATCGAAACATTCATTTGGATATAATGCATAGAACCAAACCCGTTTAGAAATATCTAAAATGTCAGCTGTATACAACCGCTTTCTAAGAGCAATGGTGAAAAAAGAATATGGGAAGAGGAAGACTGAGGGTCTTGGCAAAGGTTATCCATCTTTGGACATTGTGGACCGGCGCTATACATTCACAAGCAAAGAACTGTACCAAATAACAGAAACCACGCCACTTGAGGGCTACCAAATTTTCGTTACGGAGAGAAATCACCTTTCAAACTTAAATTGCCTCATCAACTAGAATCTTCCATATAGATCTCATGCATGTTGCCAGGCCTCTTCAGATAAATCCTAATTGTCAGCAGTATACAACTGCTATATTAAGATCAATGGTGAAAATAGGATTTGGGCGTGTGAAAAATTAGAGTCTTAGCACAGACCAAACTTCTTTTAACATTGTGGATTGGCGCCATAGATTCACAAGGACTACAGAATTTTCGTAACGGAGAGAAATCTCCTTTCAAGCTTAAAACTCGAGTCTTGTTCTTAAATAGCCTCTTCAACTAAAATCTTCCATATGGATCTCATGCATGGTGCCAGGCCTCTTCAGAAATATCTAAACTGTCAGTTGCATACAACCGCTTTCTAAGATCAAGGGTTAAAAATGGCTTTGAGCGAGTCTTGAGAGTTTTGGCGGACTGGCGCTATACATTCACAAGCAAAGGACTGTACCAAATAACAAAAACCACGTCTCTTGAGGACTACCAAATCTTCATAACGGAGAGAAATCCCTTTTCAACCTGAAAGGTCGAGACACGTTCTTAAACAGCCTCATCAACTAGAAACTTCCATATGGATCTCAATGCAAGGCGCCAGACCCCTTCAGAAATATCGAAACTGTCAGCTGTATACAACCGCTTTCTAAGATCAAGGGTTAAAAATGGCTTTGAGCCAGTGAAGTCAAATTGTCTTAGTAAAGACCGTTCTTCTTCGCAGTTTCAGAACTGGAGCTACAGATTCACAAAGAAAGAACCGTACCAAATGACAGAAACCGCATCACTTGAAGACTTTCAACAGCAGCAACAACTAAAATGGTTAGCACATGGATAGATAATAATGATATAATCAAGAAGCTACCGTTTCACTCTCCTTCAAACAAAAGACTAGGAAACAAAGACATCATAAGTACTGGAAAGAGCGATAACAGCTACTGGGTTTAAGAAACGTATTTTCCTGAAAATATATTTTTAGAGAAACATTTTATAAATCTCAACCGACTGTATTGGCTGCTTGATCAATGGATATCAAATGTTTCCTTATAAGGAAACGGCTAATATTATCATTTTATCATGGAAGTTTCAAGCTTCCTTGCGTGCAAGTATCTTCCATCTTGATCAAATTTTTAAATTCTTCATAACTTACTTTTCCCGCCCTTTTCTCTGTTATCAAATCGACAACACTATAGTTATTTCTCTTTCTGTTTTTTTTTTCCCCTTTCCCAAATGACGTCAACGGACAAACCAGGAAGCGGAAATCGGCGTGCTTGTTAAATACATTTCATTCACTCTCCGAACAGATACCGTTCAAGGATTGTCCGAAAATAGACATCGTTGTCTCCGGAGTCTTTTCAGCTTCATGCCGACGAACAAACCACACCCAATCACCAATTTCAAGCCACTTCCTCCTATCCATCTCCAGTATATACAGGTTTCAGGGACAGTCACAGGAAGGGGATGTCTTAGAGCGTTCGCGCTGAGGGGGGTTCTGGCTGACCCACCCAAGTGGGATAAAGTAGCGAAAAAAGACGATCGGAAGTTGGAATACACTATCAACTTCCGGCACTGCAATTGATTAGGGCATTGAACGGCTGATTGGGATTTTGTGTGGGCGCGTCTTCCTGTTTCATCCTCTCCCTTCTACCCCTCTCTCGCATTTTCTTTCTTTCTTTTTTCTTTCTTTCTTTCTTTCCTCACGTTCTCCCCCTCTCCGTCTGTGTATTCATATTTCTCTCTTTAATGCATTATTTCCCTTTTCGTTGTCTTTGTTAGATTTCTCCCTCTCTCTCATACACTCTCTTTATCATTTTATTGAGTTTAAATATTCTGCCTTTCTCAATCTGTATTTCTCTTAACCCTCTCTTTTTCTCTCTCATTCCCTCTCTCTTTCATTCTCTCTCTCTCTCTCTCTCTCTCTCTCTCTCTCTCTCTTTCTCCCCATGTATTTATATGCGCTTCTTTATTCTACTCAACTTTTTGATCATATCAGCTTGCAACACCGGTTCTCGTGAAATTTCCGAAGTTAAGCAACGTTGAGCCTGGGAAATATGTAGATGGGTGACCGATTGGGAATAACCAGTGCTGTAAGCTTGGATGTGCGGGCGGTGTAATGAATCGCAAACCGATATGCAAGGTGGGTAGAATACTGCTGCCATATATGGTCTGGAGTCCCCGCTGTGCGAATTAAGGTCCTCGACAAAATCCTCTCTCTCTCTCTCTCTCTCTCATACACACACTCTCTCTCACACAAACATTCTCTCTATTACTTATTTTACTGAGTTTAAATATTCTGCTTATCTCAATCTGTATTTCTCTTAACCCTCTTTTTTCTCATTCATTCTCTTTCTCTCTCTCTCTCTCATTCTTTTTCTCTCTATCTCTCTCTTTCTCTCTCTCTTTCTCTCTCTCTCATTCTTTTCTCTCTCTCTCTTTCTCTTTCTCTCTCTCATTCTCTTTCTCTCTCTCTCTCATTCTTTTTCTCTCTCTCTCTCTCTCATTCTTTTTCTCTCTCTCTCTCTCTTTCTCTCTCTCTCATTCTCTTTCTCTCTCTCTCTCATTCTTTTTCTCTCTCTCTCTTTCTCTCTCTCTCATTCTTTTTCTCTCTCTCTCTCTTTCTCTCTCTCTCATTCTCTTTCTCTCTCATTCTTTTTCTCTCTCTCTCTCTTTTTCTCTCTCTCTCATTCTTTTTCTCTCTCTCTCTTTCTCTCTCTCTCTCTTTCACTCAATCTATTTATATGCCTTTCTTTATTTTACTTCTTGATCATATCACCTTCCAATATCGGTTCTCGTACGATTACAGAAGTTAAGCAACGTTGAGCCTGGTCAATATATAGATGGGTGACCGATTGGGAATAACCGGTGCTGTAAGCTTGATTATGCGGGTGGTGTAATGAATAAAGACCCGCAAACGGTTATGCAAGGTGGCTAGAATAGTGCTGCCATATATGATCTGGAGTACCCGCTGTTTGTCTTAAGGTCCTCGACAAAATCCAAAGATGGATATGCAATGTGATTGGTCCTGATCTAGCATCTTGTTTACAGTCGCTCTCTCACAAACGTACCGTCGCTTCCCTCTGTCTTTTCTACAAATACTTTCACGGTAATTGTTCCGACGATCTACATTCACTGGTTTCCAAACTGCATGAACATAAGTGTACTACTAGGTTGGCATCTCAGTCCAACCCTTTCACTGTCGAAAGGGTTAAATGTAGCCGTCTCTCTAATGTTAGATAGATAGATAGATAAATCTGAAAAGACTGAGATAGATAGATAGATAGATAGATAGAATAGATAGATATGAACAGTGGTTAATCTGAACAGACTTAGAAAAACAGACAGACAGATAGCTATCTACATAGATAGATATGAAGAGACTGAGATAGATAGATATGAACAGTGATAGATAGATCTGAACAGACTGAGACAGATAGATAGACAGATATAGATAGATAGATAGATATGAAGAGACTGAGATAGATAGATAGATAGATAGATAGATAGATAGATAGATAGATAGATAGATAGATAGATAGTTCTGAACAGACAGATACAGATAGACAGATAGTCAGATAGATAGCTAGATAAATAGATCTGAACAGACTGAGATAGATAGATCGATAGATAGATATATCTGAACAGATTGTGATAGATAGCTACGAACAGAGATAGATAGATAGATAGATATGAAGTGATATATCTGAACAGACTAAGACAAACAGATAGCTAGCTAGCTAGCTAGATAGATAGATATGAAGAGATAGATAGATAGATAGATAGATAGATAGATAGATAGATAGATATGAACAGGGATTGATAGTTCTGAACAGACTGATACAGATAGACAGATAGTCAGATAGATAGCTAGATAAATAGATCTGAACAGACTGAGATAGATAGATAGATCGATAGATAGATATATCTGTACAGATTGCGATAGATAGATAGATAGATCGATCGATAGATAGATAGATAGATCGATAGATAGATAGATAGATAGATATGAACAGGGATAGATAGTTCTGAACAGTCTAAAACAGATAGACAGATAGATAGCTAGATAGATAGATCTGAACAGACTGAGATAGATAGATAGATAGATAGATAGATAGATAGATAGATAGATAGATGTGGACTGTGATAAAAACAGAATCCAGAGACGGATATGCAATGTTGTTGGTCCTGGTCTGGCATATCTCCTACAGTCGCTCTCTCACAGACATGCCGTCGCTTCCCTCTGTCTTTTCTACAAATACTTTCACGGTAATTGTTCCGATGATCTACTTTCACTGGTTTCCAACCTGCATGAATTTAAGCGTGTTACAAGGTTGGTATGTCAGTCCCACCCTCTCACTGTCGAAATGGTTAAATGTAGCCGTCTCTTCTAGCCCAATAGCTTCATGTCTCGCCTTTCCAGTCTGTGGAACTCCCTTCATCTTACTTGCTTCCCTGATAGCTAAATCTCCAAATATTCAAGTATAATATCAATCGACATCTCCAGATGCCTTGATTTATTCCCCGTCCTTGTTTTCATCCTTTCCTCTATCAAGCCTCTTTACTCTTGCTTCCACTCTCTGTAACCCCTTGGAGGAGTATGTAGTTTATCATCATACCCAAGACGCGGATGTAGTTTATCGTCAGAGTCAGGACGCGGATGTAGTTTATCGTCAGAGCCAGGACATGGATGTAGTTTATCGTCTTACCCAGGACGCTGATGTAGTTTATCGTCTTACCCAAGACGCGGATGTAGTTTATCGTCTTACCCAGGACGCGGATGTAGTTTATCGCCATACCCCGGACGCGGATGTAGTTTATCGTCTTACTCAGGACACGGATGAAGTTCATCGCCATACCCAGGACGCGGATGTAGTTTATCGTCTTACCCAGGACGCTGATGTATTTATCTTCTTACCCAGGACGCGGATGTAGTTTATAGTTATACCCAGGACGCACTATTTTTCGATCAGTTTTTGCATATTAGGGTTAAATTTAGAATATGTGTGATAAGTCAAGCGTGCGATCTTTCTTTTGTTCGATGTTGCAGCTGTAACTTGCGGAGTTAAAAAATATATATTGGTAATTTGAGAGAGTGCGTTGGTCCGTCATAAGGGTTAAGTATTTTTGCTATTGTTATATTTGAAGGTAAGTTATATCTTCTTTTAGAAATAAAGTTCAAAACGGAAAGAAATGAGAGAAAATAAAAAGAGAAAGTAGTTTGGAAAGAAAGAATAATTATGATCACATCATGTTGAAACACCTTTGTTCGTACATTCACCGAAGTTTTAGCAACGTCGAATCGGGTCAGTACCTAGATAGGTGACCGCTTGAGAATACCAGGTTCTGTAAACTTGGTAGGTGTATTTGATAATGATTCTAGAATGGGAAATTGGAGAAACGAATTTCTTCTCCAGCAAGATATTTTTTAACTCGGAAAGTTACAGCGGCAACATCGAACAAAAGAAACATTGCACTCTTGACCTATCACCCATATTCTAAATTTAACCCTAATATGTAAAAACTGATCGAAAAATAGATTCTCAATCAATTCAACAACCACATTTTGAAGAACTGATTGCGTTGCACTCTAACTTAAGCGGCCGAGATAAGAGAGAATGCATAAAAACCGATATATTGCTAATAAACAAATTTCTATTTCAACACTTAAACTGAAAACATCTGCTAAATAATTTTGCACTAGTACAAACAATATAATTAGAAAAGAAAGCATATTTCATGTTTATGTCATTTTAAACTCGTTTGACTATGATTCCGAATGGAAAACAATCTTGCAAGGGAGGAAGTAAGTGCAGCTTATGAGGATATGGAGGTTAAGCCAAGACTTGAAGAGGTTAGATTCATATCTATCTATCTATCTATCTATCTCAGCCTGTTCATTATCTATCTATCTATCTATCTATCTATCTATCTATCTATCTATCTCAGCCTGTTCTATCATCTATCTATCTATCTAGCCTATCTATCTATCTATCTATCTAGCCTGTTCACTATCTATCTATCTATCTATCTATCTATCTATCTATCTATCTATCTATCTCAGCCTGTTCACTATCTATCTATCTATTCATCTATCTATCTATCTATCTATCTTAGCCTGTTCACTATCTATCTATCTATCTATCTATCTATCTATCTATCTATGTATCTATCTATCTATCTATCTATTATCTATCTATCTATCTTAGCCTGTTATCTATCTATCTATCTATCTATCTATCTATCTATCTATCTATCTATCCCATTGTCATCATTATCTATCTATCCAAATTTGTACCTCTCTCTCTCGCAGTCTCTCAATATCTCCATTTTGTATGTACAATGTTTATCTATCTTTCTATCCATGTGCAATTCTATCTATCTATCTATCTATCTATCTATATATATATATATATATATATATATATATATATATATATATATATATTCTTGGGCACTTCAACGTGGTGTAATGGTTAACAAGCCACTTTTGCTAGATCATCACTAAGAAGTGATTATCTATCTATCTATCTATCTATCTATCTATCTATCTATCTATCTGTTGTTCATATAGACATGGGATGGGGTGTAAATGCTTATTCAGTGTATACGTACAATAGGCATCGTCTCTCCCTTGAATTAAACCGGTTATGATTGTAATGCTTTGGAGAAGCGTCCTGTCGGGAATCTGTTCTAAAACGCAATCCTTTTTGTAAAAAAAAAAAAAAAAATTAAATATAAAGGAAGCCTTAATAATAAAAAAAGAAAAAGCCAACACTCAATAATATTAGCTACGAACACGGCCACAATGTGATGACTGTGTTCGGAGAATAAAACATCCCTATAACTGTAGAAACATACACGCAGGCCATGCACCCATTTAAAAAACCAAAAATAAAATCATCCTTGATAATTGCTAAAAGTATAGATGAAAGCGCTCAAAATTTGGACAATTTCTGCCCCCTCTCAGCCCAGAAAGGAAAACACTTGTTCCAACAGAAAAGTAATTAAATAAAAAGCTTAATCGCAATACCCTGTCTGTCATCTTTAATGAAACATGCATAAATGAAGGATTGCTACCTAAATACACAATATATATGTGTGTGTGTGTGCGTGTGTGTGTATGTGTGCGTGTGTGTGTGTGTGTAAAAGTTTATCAGATTAAAACTGTAGAAAAAGACTATATGTATAAAGGAAAATTTTCCCATTTTCCTTCTTTTAGATATCAAGAAAAGTTTTAAGTTCATATACATATAGATTCAAGTATAAATACAACCTATGTCTACCTATAGACTCATGTATAAGCAACTCTATTTACTAATTGGTGGCTAATTACATATTTACCTGTTCGGTTGCATTTTTTTCTTTGTCTTTCTCTTTTTCTACATTGAGCCCTTCCCAATTTTCCGTCTTTCTCTCTTTTGTTATCTCTCTCTTTACTTCTCTCTGGCTTTCTCCCTTTTTTGTTCTCTTCTTTGTTCTTTCTTTCTTTCTTTTTTTTTCTTTCTTCTTCTTTCTTTCTTTTTCATTCTTTCTTTCTTTCTTTCTTTCTTTCTTTTTCTTTTTTCTTTTCCTTTCTTTCTTTCTTTCTTTTTTTTCTTTTCTTTCTTTCTTTCTTTCTTTCTTTCTTTTTCTTTCTTTCTTTTTTTCTTTCTTTCTTTTTTTTTTCTTTCTTTCTAAATTCAGCTCTTCCCAATTTTCCATCTTTCTCTCTAAAATGAAAAAGATTCTTTTATTTTCTCTGGAGATTTCTCCTTTTTGTTTATTCTTTCTTTCTATCTTTCTTTATTTCTTTCTTTGTTTTCTTTCTTTTCTTTTCCTTTCTTTCTTTCTCTCTTTCTTTCTCTCTTTCTTTTCTTTCTTTCTTTCTTTTCTTTCTTTTTTTTCCTTTCTTTCTTACTTTCTACATTCAGCTCTTCCCAATTTTCCATCTTTCTCTCTTTTGTTCTCCCTCTCTTTACTTCTCTCTGGATTTCTCCCTTTTTTGTTCTCTTCTTTCTTTCTATCTTTATTTTTTTCTTTGTTTTCTTTCTTTTCCTTTCTTTTTTCCTTTCTTTCTTTCTTTTCTTTCTTTCTTTCTCTCTTTCTTTCTTTTCCTTTCTTTCTTTCTTTCTTTCTTTCTTTCTTTCTTTCTACATTCAACTCTTCCTAATTGTCCGTCTTCCTCTCTAGTTTTATTTCTCTCTTTCCTCCTATGTCTTTATCTTTCTGTCTCCACCTCCCTATTTTCCCTCTTCTTTCTTTATTTCTTTCGACATTCATTTGTCTCTATCTTTTTTTCCCCCCATTCTGTCTTCACTCCTTCAATCTCAGCTCCTTCATTGTCTTCATTACCTTGGTGTTGTCCATTTCCGCCTCTTAATGACAAACAATTACCATTTACCATTTGTCTCTGTGTAATGGTCTGTAGAAAGGATTGTGTAAATCAAGCCGATCCTTCGATGGAATTATTTTGAAGTGAATGGTCCAGAAAATTCTTCAGACATTCAGGGAAAAAAACTGTTCCGTCTACAAAAAAAGACACGCTGAAAACCGAACTATTTGTAAAAAATCAATGATTGTACCTACCAGATTAACAGTATTAATCTCTTCCTCAATATTAAGTATTGTAATAAAAACAAAAATAAACTTTAAAACTCTTCCTTCCATTTCAAAACTCGGCCATGTCTCCCGCACTATTCCTCACCACCCTCTATATCAACTTATGTAAGATTAATGCTGCCCATCAAAAGTGTAAATTTTAAATTCACTTTTCATTTTACCTTTGAAAATGAAATCTGAAGTTCCAGAGAAAAATAAAAGTCTCTGGTGAAATAAATTATAACAAATGGAGCCTTAAAGTTGTCTGTTTTTCTTTAAATTAAATTATTCGCTCAGACTTAAATTTGAACTCTCAGGATGTCATCCTCCTTGGTATTATCCACACGGATTACCAAGATTGTCGTTACTGATATATATATATATATATATATATATAAATAAAAAATAGTCTTAAGGTATGCTATATTTATGGAATAAAGTGCTCAATATCAGAGATAGAGCGTTTAAAATATATAAAAGTGAACATAAGGTCACTGAAAAGAGGCGACATATTTTTATATATATATATATATATATATATATATATATATATATATATATATATATATATATAACGACAGTTTGTTTTCATACTTAATCAGGAAACAGACTGTTAGGTTAAATATATATGTTGATTTATTAATGTCTTTTTTTATATTTACATATTTATATATCGGGGGATATTCAGAACTTTAGTATATATATATATATATATATATATATATATATATATATATATATATATATGGGGAATCTATTTTCTGTGTTTGTGATGGGTAAATTAAAAGAATATGCATAGACACATACATACAGGTGAACATTTTAGTTAAAGGTCAACATATTAATATAAATTAGGAGGTTGGACGCAGATACATATCCATGCGTCCGGGCATACATACATGCTGCATATTGTAATTATTAATTCGGATGCCAGGACTTTAGCTTTTTATTTAAATATTGAAATGTTCATCTCATCAAAGATTCTATTTTTAGTGGTGTTCTTGACGCTTTTCAGATCTATCGCATGGGCCATCAGAGAAACTTAGCTTCCCCTCACACACCCACACGTGTGTAGATGCGCACAGACACTATTATTGGTCTTTTCATCACCACTTTATTTAAGCTGAGTTGTGTTTGTGGTCGTGGTCATAATGATGTTTGTATTTTCAACATTAACTGCTTGAGTGTTGTTGATTATGTTTGTAGTGATAATTCTGTGACTTAATTATTATTGATAATGTTAATAATCGATATTGATGTGTTAACGGTAAATTTATACTTAATGACGAAGTTATAAATTATAAAATAAAAAAGAATATGACAATAATGGCAATCGTAGCTATGATAATAATTGTGGTAACCATAATAATGATGATGATAACAATACAGGTAATATAACAATATTGACGATAATAAAAACAATGGCAGTGTTAAAAAGCAGTACTAATGGTACAGGAGATGGTTATGAAGTGAAAGATAGGAGTTATAGTAGTGTAGTTAAAGGTATTGATCGTTTTATCGGTCTGTGTTGATTGTTATAGTGGTGGTTATGTTAGTGGGTGTGGTGGCAGTGTCGGTACGATTCTTTTTTTTATTTTTGTAGTTTCATTCCTGGTTGTTGTTAGTTATGTTGTAGGCGTTATTCGTTTGGTATGGAACGTGACAATAAATATTTATTTTCGTGTCTGCATTACAAAGATTATTTATTCTAATTTAATTAATTTCGGAAAATATATATATATATATATATATATATATATATATATATATATATATTTAAAAAAAGATAGACTATTAAAAAAGATGTTCAATAAAATGAACTTAAAAATTAGTTATTCCTGCATGAACAAATCAAAAAAAATTGTCTCCTCATTAATAAAAAATTTTAAATGAATTTCATAATCAACTAAAAAAAGATCCTAATACGAGCCAAAAGACCAAATCGACCTTTTAACTGCAGGAAGGATCCGTTTGTCCAGTAGAGGGAATATGTTTGTCCGAAAACGTGATATACGAGGCTAAAATTTTCCCCAAGGAAGATATTAAACAGAAGAAGATTTACAAAGGGATATCGGCGGCAAATTGGAAGCAACGGTTTTATAACCATCGCCAATCCTTCACAAATAAATCAAAGAAACATCAAATAATTATATTCTAAACATTATATATTAGTTGTTGGAAAGCAAATTAAAAGAAAAAAAAAAAATGGAGAAAATTGAGAGAGCTAGAACTCTGATAAACTTCAGAGACCGATGCAATTTGTGCATTAAAGAAAAAAATCTTAATAATAAAGCATAAGGATCCGGACATATTATTAAACAAACATAACGAGTTGGTTTGGGATAGACATAAAAAACTACCTCAATTTAATAAAAAGTATTTTTAAAAACCACTATATAAAAAAGGAAAATATTAATTTTTTTTTTGAAATGAATGTATGAATACATGGATACTATACTTGTTTGGTATGTACGTAGATGAGCTTAGACATTTATATGTGATTTATATATATATATATATATATATATATATATATATATATATATTGGTTGGATAGATGTGAGTTTGTGGCCCTGGGTTTCACTTTTAGCGATCGTCAGACAAACTGATTAATTTTTTTAAAAATTTGGGTTTATGTAGATTGCGTGTATTGGTGTTATTATTGTGAAAGTGGTGGGGAAAATTTCGTCGTTTTGTCATTCATCGTACTAACGCAAACATCGATGTATGCAGACACATATACATACTTGGTCGTCCGTCGGGACTCATACATATATAAACATATGTGGGCAGTTTCGGCTATGACATATGTATGTATACGGGTGGTGTTATGTCTATACATACGCATTTGTATGTTGAAATGTTGAAATTTAAACAAGAAATAAAGAAATCACAAAAAAATGTCTCGTTAATATATATATATATATATATATATATATATATATGAATATTTTGGATAGGGTATGTATATATGTGGATATATATTCTTTAAAAAATTATGGACACGTGTATGTAGGTATGTGTGTATATATATGGGTATGTATATATATATACATATGTGTGAGTATATATATATAAGTATGGGATATGTTTAGGTACTAATGTTATTTTTGTGGTAGGTATCGTTATATATATATATGTGTGTGTGTGTATTTTACATATGTGTGGATGTATGTGTATATGTATATTGTATGTATATATGCATATATATATATATGTATACATGTATTTGTATATGTGTAATATTTTGAATATTAAATTACTTGTAATTTGTATATGTATATAGATGTATATAATTATAGAATTAATATTTATTTATAAATGTGAATAGATATATAACATTGTAATATAAATATATGCATGTGTGGATAGTTATGCGTAGAATTCTTTTCATATGCTTTTTATGTATATAATCGTGTTTGTATATGTAGGTATATGTATTTATGTATGTATGTGTGTATATGTATATATATGGTTGTATATGTATATATATTTGTGTATATGTATATAGGTATATATATGTATATATATATATATAGATAGATAGATAGATAGATAGATATATAGATAGATATATAGATAAATATAAATATATATATATATATATATGTGTGTGTGTGTATACGTGTATGTCTTGTTTTTTAAATGGAAGTAATTGGGTCATTCTAATCGTATTTTAAAATTACTCTTTTTAATATTTAGTATCACTTTCTTTTTTAATGTTCTATAATTAGAATTTTGAGAGTGTATTTTTATCTTCTTAAGGAGTTTCATTTTAAAATTGATAATTTAAATTTAAATATACCACTTTTTTTAACTATTAATAGTAATAATAATATTAACTAAATTCTTTTAATAATGAAGCACTTCAGAAGTCACCTAAAGTTAAACGTTAACTATAAAATCAAACTAAAATCTACATAAATTTCAAATATTAAAATATAGGTAATGATGTAGAAATGTATGTATATATAATTTATGTTTGAAGATAGATGCACATTTATGTATATTGTTGCAGGTGATTCTATGTGTGTATTTGCACATGTAAATAAACGTATGTATACATGGATTTGCATGAATATGTTTGTAAGATAAATATAAGAAGAAAACAAAATCTTTAATATTACCCTCAAATATTATTAAATAATGAAACCTAAACCTTAATTTAGTTTACCCATATAATAATAAAGAAAAATTGCATTCATAAATTAGATTAAAAGGAAAACTAATATAGATGTTATTGAAATTTTTTTACAATATTATGGAAGTACAATTGGTCGGGTAAATAAACTATTATAATTTTAAATATTTTTTAATATGTTCTCGATAAATCTACTAATAAAAATAGTAGTTAACTTATATTAAGTCCCTAAACTATTTAAAAAAAAAAATTAAATGTTTAAATTGATAACATTCATCATTTTTTTAGACATCTAAATTTCTATCAAACATTGAAATCTATCTTTTACATAATTTTGTTAAAACAAAATTACAGCCTCTTTCGATTCACTTCCCTCTCCCCCTCTCTCTTTGCCGTAACACTCATTTAGATATATCTGTATTACTGTCGCC